TTTTTGTTGTTGTTGTATTCACATTTCCTCTGACGAGTTCTGGTATTATGCGAAAAGCCTCTTGGGCAGTGACTTGTGGATGACACAAGATAGACCTGAAAGGCTATTTTTGCCTAACTAAGTTGGAGTTCAAAATGGGCAAATTAAGATTGAAAAAATGTGTGCAGTTTACATGATTTTTTTTTATCACAAATGTTAGGCCTTCACCATCTTTTGATGTCTAAATCGTAACTTTCCTACCTTTGTTCTGTTGATTGACACAGAGAAGTCAAAGTCAGGGGCAACAAAAAGGTAGCCACATTTCGATACATTTCTTGAAGCCTAAAATATAACAAGAAAAATAAAATAAACACAGTCCATACTCATCTGAAGAACGCCGCTTTTCTGTCTTACCAATATTTAACTAGATCTAAAATATGGGAGTCTTAATATATAGATATGAAAAATCGACAATAGATTCTAATTTACGTTTATTTACTGGATTCCATTAATTGAAAATATTAATGAGTATGATTGGACTATCCTTTTTACTGACAAGTTACTTCTTTAAATCACAAACAGTACGATTATACATACTCTACGATTCACTTAAATTATGATGTTTTAACAATTGATTAACAATTAATTTAAGTTTCCCATTTTACTGCCTAAGTTTCATAAAAAGAAAATCGAAAACGTATTTCATATAAATAAAGGCGATGCGTGTAAAGATTATTTTATCAACATCTTATTTTTGTTGTTCTTATACTGCTAATGCTGTAAAAACAAACACACTTAGTCTGCAGTATAATCACTGAATTTCTCCAACTTTATTACATCGAATAGATTTGGTACTAAAATGTGAATATATATATATTTCTTTTTATCTAGGAGCAGAGAAGCTATATAACATAATGCTGTTTTTTTCTTAACTTGTGGACAGAATATATATATGCACATTGCAGAAATTTATATGAAAGAGACGACACAACCAAGTTGTTATGAAGTCGTCTCTTGCGAGTTCAACAAGGGCCAGTAGCCTCGTACTGTGTTAACAATGTTGAAAACTGTTTCCAGCGCAGCATGACAAAGCCGTTGATTACTACTAACCCCATGTGTTCATTGTCATTTTGAGAAACCACATGGGGAGAAATAAAATTAACATCTATCAGGTTATGAAATCTGTTGTTGCAAAATCGTCAGGAGAGAGAGAAAGGGGGGAAGTCGGAAAAGACGCTTGCCAGGAGCAAACAGAAGTGTTCACATGCTCTTACATAAAGTACCAGACCCAGGGATAGAATAACTAGGTCCAGTGTTTTCTAGGGCTTCCACCCACACATTTCCACTTAATTAAGCTACAACGGAGTTCTTAATATAAGTGGGCTAAGTGGATACTTCTGCAGTTAAGCCTATTTTAACGAGTTAGAACAAACGTAAATAATATTCCCTAAAATAACCTTAACTATGTTTATTTCAGTGGCGGCAATTTGGAGGAGGGTAGGCAGTCGCCCCACCCAAGGCATGATTTTCTTCTTCTTTTAAGAAATGTAAAATGTTTGGCGAAAAATTATTAATATTGATATAAAAAGTACAAATTATAACCCTCTGGCGCTTACGTGGTTATTACAGTTGCTGTATGGGCCCTGATACGTGCTACGTCGTGATTTTGCTGATATGACGTCACTGGTTTCTTTCATCTTTGTTTTATAGATTGAAATTATAATTTTTGGTGATTATGAATTTAAATTTTCAAAGAAAATATAAATCTTTATGAATGTACCTGCGTTTTTCACAACGCAGCACAGGAGGTAACTTGTGTTCCTGTTCCCATCTTCTGCATTCAGTGCACAACATGTATAAATTCAACAAGCATAAAATGAACAAAGTGCGCTAAAAATTATCCCTAGAAAACGCAAACATGAGACTAATAAAGCACGTGGTATACAGGTGCACTTGTACAGCGCGCCGCGTATACTATATAGATTATGCACGCATGCAATACAGTATTAGCCAATGAGATTAAGCCGTAATACAGATTTTAATTATGTATGTGACAGTGGTTGGTTGGTCTGGTCCTTTGTGCCCACCGTGAACTTTTGCTTATTCCTATTTTTGTGCATTACGATCACCCACTACGCGTCGGCTTTTGCAATATATTTTGACTGTTTCAAATGATATAAGAAACATCATTTTATGACGCAGATTTGCATTTTAGGTAGAAAGTCTTTTCGCTATGTCGCATCGCGCATGCGTGAAGTAACTTGTTTCTAATATTTTCCACACTGCGTGTCATCGAGTAAGAAACACTAAATATAGATTTTAGTTTTGTTCAAAAGGGTTGAATCACCACGACTTACAACATAGCAAACGCTTAAGTTACTGCGGTACAGATAAAGATCTAAAATTGTTCGTGCTGATGATATACGTAGAAACTTTATTTCTATTTGACTGTTCAAACGATTTGAGCATCTGCAAGCAGGTAAGTATGACGTCGTCTTTAAAGTTAAACACTACATTTTGATCCACCATGCTCTAGCCTATTACGTGCTGACCACGAACAGATTTAACAAGCCAATTCTGACAAAATGTCACTCGGGCTCTAATAAGGGTTAGTCGGAAATATAGGCAACGATTTTGTATTGGAGGGATAAGTGTGTTTTTTTTTTTTTTTTTATAAACTAGAGCGAGATAAAAATGAAATACAAAAAGTCTTTTAAAGGCCCCAGAAAACTATATATATTACGCAGTCTGTTAATCAATCTTCTATGATAATATTGTCGCTTCGCTACAAGTTCTGTTACTTCACAGAGAATATCGACGAATTATTAGCAAGCATATGGGACTAGTTTATTGGAACAATCAGCTTCATCAGTGACTATTCCATTAAAAAAAAACGAGTCTACATTACTTTTCTAACAGCAACTTGTCAGATCATGGCTCTCTTCACGGACAGAAAGGTTTTCACTATTATAAACAAATTCGTTTTGCATATTCAATAATCCACGTGCTCTGTTTGAATAAAACCTTAGCAAGGCAATTTATTAGGTCAAGTAAAAACTCTGAGTAAAAATTAACAATGCAATATATTAGGCCAACCAAAGAAAAGTCTGAGCAAAAACGTAGCAAGGCAATATATTAGGCCAACTAAAGAAAAGTCTGAATAAAAACACAGCAAAGTAATGTATTAGGCTAACAACAAAAAATGACTATTGTCATCCTAAGTTCTTGAGAAATTGGGGAGGTGGGAAGAATTTATTATATTTTCAAATTTTACTCCTCATTCCTTAGCTAAATATTGGATATAAAAACTGGTCAAGAAAGCTGTATATTTCAATTTGCCAATGTTTCTTTTCAAACACCAATGGATTACATGCCAGGATAAATACCGTACCATAAACTATGGACGCTGGTCGTAAAATGTACAAAACTGAAGCACAAATGCCTAACTAGAGGCGAAAAAGGCTTTGTCCACCAAAATATATGCATAAGTAACGCCGGGCATTAGTTTCGGCGCAAGCTCCTTTGTTTCGTCGACTGAAGGTATTATAAAGCACCTGTCTAGACTACTTTTTCAAAAAAAACATTACGATGTTTACATCCCACCCTAAACTTTCTGTAAACAAATACCATTATCTTGGTCATCATTTGTTGAAAAAAAATATATATATATATCGATTTAAGCGACATATAATACAAACATTAGCGTTAGTACTCCAAAAACAAAGATACGTTTAAATAAATATAGGAGATAAGGCAACATTTGATTGGTTGGGTGTGTTTTGAATTTTGTGAAAACCTACAGGAGAGCTATCTGCGCTAGCGGTCTTTAATTTAGCAGTGATTGGGAAGACAGCTAGTGAAAATAATCCATCGCCAACTCTTGGGCAGTAGCCCTTTTATCAACGAATAGTGGGATTGACCGTCACATTATAACGCCCCACGGGCGAGTATGTTCGGTCACAGGGGTTCGAACCCGCGATCCCCAGATTGCGAGTTGAGTGCCCTAACCACCAGGCCCATGCAACATTCGACGATACAGAAAAATACCGAGTTATAAAGAATGTACTATTGAAAGGACACAAAATTTCGTGTAAAGAACGTTATTCTTAAATATGAGTTTTTTAATAAAACTTGGGAAGAAAGATTCTTACAGTGTAAACATATTGATTTCATAGATTATCATGTTTGGCACCGAAGCATTTAGAAAAAAGAAAACAAAACGTTATACGGTTACAATCACGGCTAACAAAAAGGCCTAATGAAACGTTTTATCATGAAATTACGATTTATGATTTTGTTTCAACCTCTTTCATTAAACTGTCAATTTTAATTTCCTTTTGAAAATACGAACATTGAACTGTTTTAAACATGAAACATTTGCTAGAGGTAAACTCTATGCAAGTGCAATTACATTAAAATACAACATCTATTTTCCTGTAAACACAATATAAACCTGTAATTGTACACCGCAGAAAAAATTAGATATTCTGTAAATCTAAATCACAACATGATTAAAATATATAGGACAAACGAGGTTAATATTTGTAAACAGATTCGGAAAAACCAAAAGTTCGAATGGAAGAATAGGTTGAGTTACCTAACTTCATTTTTATATGAACACATATATCAGAGAGAGTTATATTGTGTCCTCTCTAAAACTAGGAGTTGTCTTCTCAACAATTCGTAATATTTTTCTCGAGGGTGAACACGTTTGACCTAAAACTCACAACACAAACGTCAATGTCCTCTTGAATTTACTTGTGTTAGGTTTAAGTAACACTCGCTTTGTATTGTGGTTATACATGCGCTAGGACAGGTACATAAAGTATGATTCTGACAAGTTGCATGATGTTTACCTCCCCGGAAAGCTGAGTGTAAGGAGGAGAAAAGAACTTGAACTCAAAGTTTTGGCTGACTCTTAAGAAGGGTCACAGCAAACCTTACATAACGTTTAAGAAGCAACATCTTAATCACATTCACGAGCTTCCTTCACAATTTAGTTTCTGAAGAGGGACGGAATATGTTTTATTAATAACCAATTATACAAATATGTAACTTGCAAGATAAGAACTTTACAGCTTTTTTGGATCCAAGTAATTCTAGCGTTTTTTCTCACCAGTAGAAATTCCCATTTCCTCCCGTTCTTCTAAACTAATTGTCAATGGATACCGTAACTGAAGTAATTGTATTGTTGTTGTTTTTTTTGTTTATGGTTAAGCATAAAGCTACACAATGGATTATCTGTGTTGTGCTCACCACGGGTATCGAAACCCCGATTTTAGCGTTATAAGTCCACAGACTTACCACTGTGCTACTGGAAGGCGAAGAAATCGTAACTGCAC